ATGTAATTTTGTCCAAATTTGAACTTGTCTGTAAAAATTAACCATGTCTACATATTTTTTGCTTGCGGTATGAACTACTTATGAGAATCCTTGATTTAAATTTTCGATTCTTGGTTATAAAAATTGAACATAATATAATTTTTAACCACAAAAGATAATTTCAAAATTTTCGAGATTTCATTAAATTTCATAAAAATTTGAACTTCAAATACTTAAAAAATGGTACTTATAAGGATCTTAAGAATTTATAAACGGCTTATGAGAAAACTTGTATTAAATTATCAAGCTTTCTTAGTTTTTTGAACCAACGGCAAAATGTTATTGACATTTATAGAATAAATAACTAAAAACCGTTCAAATTAAAAATGTCTATAACCTATAAGTACCTCAAAACAAGTCAAAATATTTTGAAAATGTTATCATGTAAAGAAAATGATAAAATGAAAATTTGATGAAAATTTCAAGTATTTATGGTTATTATTTTTTGAATCACAACAAAATAAGAAAAACATTGTATGACAATTTGTTAATTTACGGTGAACATCTAATGTTTAACTTCAAACGCTCGTAAAAAATTTAATTTTACTTTCCCGTAAACTTTTTTTTGTTAAATCTAGAATAACTGAGGCGGGGATCTTACACTCAATTTTCAAATTTTAGATAAAAAAAGCAACATTTTTATGAATTTCTAACTCAAAATAGTTCTCAAATTTTTTATTAATTAAATTTTTTCATAATAGTTAAAAATCTTAATTCAAACTCTCATAAAGCATTATTGTGGATATTTTCAATCAACTTTTTTTCAATTACCATTAACAACAACTTACGAGGAATCATGATATGTTACGTTGTTATTATTTACTATTATAGAGCTAGGATTTTAATGACATAAAAAATACTCAAAAATGCATTTAAAAAATGCAAAAATAACCTAAAAACTGTAAAAATGATCAAAAACTATACTTAGATGAGCGAAAAAAATTTACTTTTAAAATAAATATTATTATTAATTATTATTTATACATTTTTTATATAACACAAAAAAGGTAAACATTTGTTTTAAGAAGTATATTAAACAAATTTATTCAAATTTGAGTTGATTTGTGAGTTTAATTAACCGAATCCCAATTCTCTGACAACTCAGTTGATCGACAAAAATATACCATTTATAAAATATTTTTAATATTATTTTATTAATATAGTTTCAACTTTCCCGATTCGCCGTCAGGGGACAACAATTTTATCGAAAACCGGTATAACAGCTATAATATTATGGTATATTGTCGATGTAACTTCAAAGGTACTATTTTTATAAGGGTACCATAGGTACTAATTGAGGTGACCTATACACCACATATTAAAAAAACTTAAAATAAACAAAAATAGTTTTAATACACATAATGAACGTAATATTTGTAAAAATGAATTTAAAAGTTAAAAATGCAAAATTAAAATTATACATTATAATTATAATTAAAATTTTTATATCACGAAACAAATTTAGTGTTTGGTTAAAACTGTATACCAAGAAAAAAAATGCAAAAGTCACTAAAATCCTATAGCTCTACTTATTAATAGTATACGGTAGCCACACTAGCCGGTTAGTTGAATTAATATTATTCAATAATTATGAGTGATGCTGAAAAAATATTAAATAAACTTATGTAAAATTTGTCTGTTTTGTAATCGAATTACAACAAAATGACTAAAATCGTAATTCTTTATGTTGATATATGTTATTTTGTCTAAATTTGAAACTTAAAAGAACCATACAAAAAGCAGTGTTTATGTTTATTTTTCGAATTTTTGGTTAGAGAATGAACTACTAACATAGATGAGCCTTGTTTTAAATTTTCAATCCTAGCTATAAAAGTTGATCATTGAATAAATTTTCAACTATAAAATCATTTTTCAATTCGAGAAATGTTGTCAAAATTTGAACTTTAAATGATAATAAAACAAAAACATAGGTTTGTATTCTTAATACTTTTCAATTGCTATTGCAACAATATTTCAAGAGACGTGTATTAAATTTTCATGTTTTTTGACCCAATCAATAACATTTTATTGACATAACAAGAAAAAACTGAACATTTAAAATGTCTGTAAGCAGCTCACAAAGAGAAAAAATAAATTGAAAATGTTATCAAGTATAGTAATTGATAGAATGTTATATGGTGTAAATTTCAAGTGACTAAAAATATTTGTTTTTAAATTACAACAAAATAAGAAAATCGCTTTATGAAAAATTGAGTGAATATCCAATGTATTTCAATGTATTGTAAAAGTTTCAACTTCAAATGCTCATAAAAGTTTAATTTGACTTTTCGGTGGAAATTTTTTTTTGAAAAAGCTTTAAGAAATCTTGTTCTTGTATTACATTTTTAAATCTTAGATATAAAAAAAACAATTTTTATGAATTTTTCACTCAAAATAATTTGCTAATTTTCGTGATTTCCACGAATTTTGTAGAAAATTTTAATTCAAACGCTCATAAAAAATTGTTGTGGATACGTTAAACTTTTTTTAAATTTCTCCTAATAATAACTTACGAGGAACCTTGTATTGCATTTTCAAGTTTTTTAAAATTAAAATAAAAAAACATCGTAAAATTAATATTCGTTGCTCCGCTCAGAACCTAAAAAATGAAAGAAAAAAAACACATACCATTGTAATATGAATATATACATCACTGAGCTCAGAATCTAAAACATGCCATAATATTGAAAGTTTTCTGAAAATGATTACTTCCCCCCCCCTACCATGTCACTGGAGACACCCCTAGTGAAAGAGAAAGTAAGTACTACATCGACCTATTGCTAACTTTTTGAAAAGCGTTATTTGTGTATTGTGTAAGTAGTAAGTGTAAGCTTACAAGGCTAGTCGTAAAATAAAATACATAGCCCGTGCTACAGCAGTCGCTCATCAGCGTACAACCATCACATATTCGCACGGTCGCACAATACCATCTATACGCTCTAGCCGAATTTCGATATTTCAAAACGACATCTGTCTGCCTCAAGCCTGGGCATGCTATATGCACCAATATAATTAGAATCATCTCAGCAAGTTTTAGCTCAATTAGTTTGAACTGAAATTATTTTCTCATTCGCTAAAATATATATCTACATTAATATTTAATACAATACATGTATACATATTATAATTTACAATTGTATATGTGTCTAAGATAGATTAGAACACTATTGTATAAGTATCAACTATATATATAGCTTTTGGTTTCAGCTCAATCAAAAAATGTAAAATATTTATGCTATATGATGCACTGTATGTAGGTATTGATTAAAATAATATCGTATATACAGAGTTTTGCAGTATCTTCGTCATTCTTCAATACAAGTACCTATCTATAAGATACGTATCATAGTTACAATTGTATCTTGTATCTCGATACAATTATATGAAGTATCGAGTATATTGTATCGCGATACATATTAGATAATGTATTGAGTATTTCACAAAATAATTTTGTCAAAAAATACTCGATACTTTAAAAAATTAATTTTATCATAATTCTACCAGGAATAAATAAAATAAATTATCCGACAATACTTTTGAAAAATTAGTATTTTTAAAAAGAAATAAGAATATGGTATGATACCTATCTGGCTATCTATATTATTTATTTTTATTATTATTTATTAATGTAATTTAACAATAATTGACTTATCATAATATATTTATACTCAACTAATATTTGGAAATTTAAAGTTAAATACATTTGTCTAGATTCACAACCTACCTAATTGTGTATCAATAAAATTTAAAAAAAATCCTTTGCATTGCATCGTAGGGTATGACTAATTTTTTCAAATGCATCGAGTATCTAAATACTTAAAATGTAATTACGAGTATCTAGTATCTCGATACTCCAAATCCAAGTATCTAGTATCTAGTATCGCGATAAAGATTTTTGAGTATCTTGCCCATCCCTGCGTATATAATAGTGTTTGGAAGAAACGAGTGCCAAAAGGAACTGATTACTGGAACGAATTCCTTTTTAAGAAGTTACACGTTGAACAAATTCCTTTTTTAATAAAAAAAAACACGAGAAAATGAACGAGTTTTTTTCAAGAAAAAGTAATGAAATTTTTGAAATCAGTTTGAGTTCCAATTCACACAGATATGTAAATAATTTTAATTTAAATATATTTTTTCTTAGCGCGTATATTGCCAATTAGTGATAGTTATCAAGTATTGAAGTTAATTGTATAACTTAATATTAATTTATATTGTTTAAAAAATAATAAATATAGATGAAAAAAAAAATATTCAATATTATATTCTTAAATTAAATGATAAATTATAAATCTACTTGTAGGTATGTATTAGTATAATTAAAAAGTTAAGTACCATTCAAGTATATATGAAAAAAAAACATTGATGATTAAAATACAAGAATTTTTAATTTTATTTGGAACTAAAACAGGAATTTCTTCATTTTGCTAAGGAACAATAAAGGAAATAATTCTTTTTTTTTTATAGAACAAAGAAGGGAATGGATTTATTTTTTTTTTAAACGGGAAAAGAACAAATTCTTTTTTTATAAGGAACTTGCCAAACACTAGGTATACCTACAGCAAAATCGAACGTACATTGGTATGTAATCGAATATAAACAAATAATATACCTCCCTAACATTATTACTATTTTTACACATAGTAACTACAATGAGTGTGTTGTGCTTATATAACTGCACAATGCATACTTATTAGACAATTTGTTTTTCCTACAACCATTGACTTGACTTCACAGCAGTATGCGGATGTCAGCTTACTGTTTGTTTTCTCTCTGTTCACACTTAACATAGATAAAATGTATTCAGATGCTTTGACATCCAATTAAATTCTTAAGAAAATGGACTGTTGTGTTACTAGAATGTCAGTATAGTAAAACTACTGCAGTGGTTTCGTTTATTATTATTCTGTAGGAAAACCTTTATAGGAACGCACTTAGTTATTAAGTGAAAACAAATCAAATTAAAAAATGCATTTAGTGTTTATTAACTTTTTAACATTTGTCATATCAGCATTCATACAACACCTACTATTCTATTACATTCAATATACATATTTATACATAGTTAAGTATATTTGTAGTTAAATAAAATAAGTGCCTATAAGTAATAGGCTAATAGGTAGAATTAACTTATAATAGTTAGAAATGTATCTATTTTTAATTCTTAAATAAATCTTTGATTAAATGTTTGATTTCAATAAATTGTTCTCATTTGATATAATATTATCTAGAATCAAAATAAATAAAATATAAAGATTAATATTATATTACAAACAGCAAAACAAACCTAAAATAACACATAAGCAACCAAAAATTGACCTACCACCAACCCATCCTCTCACTAATAATTTATAATAAACACAAGTATTATTAGTAATACTATAACTCTTTACTCACCATAATAATCAATTAGTAGGTAATTTATTTTCAAATTCATATTAAGCACCTACCCATCCCTAAATATTAAAAAAAAAATCGAAAAGCAACTGCTTCTAAAAGACCACTTTTGTTTTGCTACTGATTACAAAGATGTTTACTTTGGTATAGTTTATGTTTTGATATCATTGGCTTTTAGACCAAAGTATAATTATGAAATATTTTAAGGTTGAAGATACTTCAAATATTTTGCAAATAGAAAAACTACATAAATGATATTGTATACATATTGAATAAAATAGGTAGAAAATAACTTTAAATATATTTAATTAAAGAAAATATCTTACCAAATATTTGAACCAACTCCATTATTAAAGTTGTATTTATTTCATATAATATTGTATCGTTACTGCAAAATAAAAAAAATGTGTTAACATAATAAGAAAAGTGTATTAGTTACATTAAAAAACAAGAAACAGATATGTAATAAGTAATAACTCTTAAATGACTAAAAGTAACACAAATAATGTTGTAAACATACATTGAATACCTAGGTGTAATATTAAATATTATAACCATTTTAGACAAAGGTAAAAACTTGCAACCAAAAAAAAAAAAACACTATTGCAAACAAAACCTTTATTTATTAACATCTAATTGGTAAATATGTATATTTGTCTATTGTCAAATGCTAAGTTTTTATTTTTCCTATAGCAGAGAGATTTTTCTAACAAGTAGTCAAGCTGATAGATTTGTTAATGCTATTTTAAATAATGTGTTCAAATTTGCAACTATATGTACAAATAACAGTAATGTTATCATTTTGACTATAGTTTCAAACTTGAAAATTGTGTTAAATTTAGTGCAAAAACACACATTTAACTTTTTATAACACACGGTAGTTTTTATTTTAAGTTCTAAATAGATTATACGTCACTTTTGACTACCTAATTAAGACTGTTTTAATGATACTGCCTATATGGTTATATAATTTTTATTTTATGTGAACAAAGAAATTTTAACACAGACTTAAAATAACTACATAAACAACATTGTACACATCTGACCATTTTATTTTATTTTTGTTCTATAAATATAAATTAAAATGATTGTATTTATAGTATTGAGCAGATAAATTTGATTGACTCGAATTGTAGGCAATGATTTGTGTTACATACCTTGTTGAAATTGTAGAATACAATAAACATTATTAAAAAATAACAGTTGATAAAATTACTAATTTAACTCTTATAAAAAAAAATATGATGTTTTGTTACATTTTTCAGTAGGTGGACTGGTGAGGGGGCTGGGCCATTTTTAGAGGATGCTAAAACCCTCCCTGGCTAACATAGTTAGGTAATACTAAAAGTTACAGTTATAAATTAAGAGTTTATAGTTAAAACAAATCAAACAAATATAAAAATAGGTAGGTACCTATCTAATTTTATAAATTTTATTTACTGAATGATACTTGATTTTTTTAATAATTGTTATTGTTTACAATATGATATGCTACCATTACATGCTGGACCCACATTTTTTAGTTAAATTCATAATATTTGTTAAATAATAAATTCAAAAAAAGGTGGAAAGTAGGTGACAGCTCTACTGTGCAGTAGTTGTCAAGTATATTTTCTAATTGAGCAAATCACTGAAATGTATGTGTTAAATTTAAATTTATTGATAAATCATTGCATATAAAAAAAACCATTCTGAAAAAAGACGGTCTGGCTCAACCTATATTACAAAGTATATGTTATAATATATTTATATCATTACAAAGTAATTTATTTTAATATGTTAGGTTGAATAATAGGCAATAATAGACAAAATGAATAGCAAATTTTCGTGATTTTGACAAATTAAGTCAGTTTTATTTCAATCTTTATAAAATAAGAGTAATTAAGTAATACTTTGCTGCACATTAGGTGTCTAGAGACTAGGTAATTACTCTAATGGATGTGTTAGATTTGAATTCAATATTCATTGTATACGAATCTTTGTATCACGATTCTGAGCAAAGACGGTTAATCAGTCTATAATATATTACCAAGTAAATTCTGTGATATTATTGTGATTAAAGTAATTGGTTTTACTATTAGGCATAGTATTACAGTAGGTTAAATACATTTTGCCAAAAAAATGTTTTTGAAAATGTCATTGTGAGTATACTGTATACAATAAAATAATTTACACTAATAGTCAAAGTACCCAGGAATAATATTTTAAATTACAACAAATGAACTGAAATAGTTATTCTAGGTTTTAATATAAAATTTTGTCGAAATTCGAACTTAAAATGTCAGTAAAAAAGACCCTTCAAAATTTAATTTAATTTTGTATAAATCTTTAAATTCTAATAAAAAAAAAATTGTTCACACAGATCTTTAAAATTCTCAATTACTATTAAAACTACTGATGAGGAGCCTTGTGAAAAATTTTCAAGCTTTTTGACTCCACAAATAACATTTTATTGACATTTATAGAATAAAAAACTAAAAGAAATTCAAACTTCAAATGTCTACAAATAACTCAAAATGAGTCAAAATATTATCATGTAAAAAATGAAAAAATAAACATTTTATGAAAATGTCAGTTTTATCTACGGTATAGTTTTTTAGAGTAACACCAAAAACCAAAATCTAATTCTGTTAAAACCAATTTTGAGGTAATAATCTCAGTTTTTCATTAATTGTTTGTTTGTTGTTGCTGACCATGCATAGAGCATGATATTTTTAATACCATGTATAGAAAATAATAGTATAGACTCTTAGTGAACATTTTAAGTATCTGCAGTTATTCTTTACTTTGTTTTTTAAGGATAATATGTCTATGGTAATGGGTTAAGTAGATAGGGGGATTAGATGATTTGAAAAAGCTAGCAATTACTATTAGTTTAATCAATATAAATATAATATTATATAATAATATATTACTCTAAACCTAATCATTAAAAATGTAAAAGCATTTGATATCAGATGAATCATTTTGATTTTGAAATAACAATATACGAGTATTAGGTATAATAGATGTATAAATAGGTGACAAGTGTGTATACTGTATATTAATTTACCCTAATTTATGATTGAGTTGCTCATAGTAAGGTATTTAATATTTTGCCCTGCCCCCCCACAATTTTTAAGAATTTTGAACAACAAAATAATTTTGATGAAATTCGTCAAAATTTGAATTTAATATTGCTTATAAAAATAATAATCTATATTTTATTGTTTTGAAAACAACTTAATAAGCCTTCTATTACATTTTCAAGTATATATAAGTGTGTACTTGAAATGAATACGTATAGACCTATTCCTGTGTTTCCATAACCATTTTAGTTTTTCCCAAATCCTGAAAAGTTGTGGAAATTGTCTACTTTTGAAGTAAATATTTCCTCTGCTATAAAAATTATATTCAAACACAAAAAAACCAACCAACATATCATTGTAAAATCAACATACCTCCATTTGGAATCTAAAAAAAATGCCAAAATTCAACAACCTATCTCTAGCCACAAATATGTATAACTTTATAGTAATCATAAATCGTTATAATTAACATATATTATGTCTATAATATACACCATAAAATAAGAATATATAATGTTATATTTTATAATATCTTACTTTTTATATTTTTTAATTATTTCCATTGTATGAAGTCCATCTAAAGCAGATTTGATTACATCTTTAGTTAAACCGTAGGGATGTGTGTGTAATTCTTCAACCTTCATATGAATTAATTTATAAATAAATTCCTCTGATATTATCTTTTGAGGAGCCTAAAAATTACAATACATTTAATAAAATATAATTTAATTAATTAAAGTACTGTAAGATTAGTTACGTTTAGCAAACAACTATAGATCAGTCTATAGCATATTACATAAGGATTGATTGTTAGATAACGAAGTAGTTCTTTCTCTTTTTCATTTATATGAAGGTAAATTGAAATACTATGTTTAAAATCCTACAAAAAAATGTGTGATTAGATATATTGATGTGAGTATGAAGTTTATTTCATAAAATTGTAGGGGGAACATAAATAAAAACATAGATGCAAAATGATCAGACTTACTTCTTTCTGACAGCCATGAAAAAATACAAACTCAAACTCAAATAATTTTCTTAATAAAAAAAACTTTCCCTCTAAGTCCAAGATGTCTAAAATAAAGCAAATATTACAGTATGAATTCTATTAAAACCAAGGTCTGACATTAATGGGTTAATAAGTTAATTTCAACTTATTAACTTAATTTACTAGTTGGATGGTTTAATTAACTTAACTTTGACTTAACTCATTTGCTTTTACATCAGTGTTTCCCAACCAGTGGATTGCGGTACCCATAGATATTTTCTTTATATTTTTTTTTTAAATAGTGAAAAACATTACGACTTATTGAGGAACCGTATTATATCGTTAATGAGCAAAACAAAGTCTTTATAGTTTTTGTAAAATTGAGATGGTTTGCGACCTATAAAATATTGTCAAAGTAGTCTGTGGTAGTAAAAAGGTTGGGAAACACTGCTTTACATTAACTTAAATCAATTTCTAAATTTTTTATGTTCTCAATTAAGATTATTTTTTTTTTTTATTACCCAGAAAAAGTGTTATTTATATTAATATTGTGTAACGGTTTTTAATAATCATAATTTTGTAAAATATGGGAAATATAATCTAGTAGAAAAAAATATCTATTTATCAAGAATTTTATATTTTTATTTATAGATAAAAATTATTTATTATATTAAATAACAATTATTAATTACTAATAATATAGGGGAATTAATAAAAATTAGTTCCCTTTAGAAATTAATAGCTATAAGCTTATAAACCTACAATTATACTACTACCAATTAGTTACCATTAAGATTATCATGAATTTAATATAATTTATACATAAATATTATATTAATTAAAATCATAAAAATATATATACAGATATATGTTATATTTACTAGGTAGGTATCTTATATACCTACATATATATTAAACATTTATACGGTTATTCATCCCTTTATTACATAGTTGCTGGCTACAGTATTATTTACTATTTATTTTCAGTACTTAATACTATCCAATAGTTGCATGTATGCATGATCGGCTACATATAAACTTGTATGCATTTTTTTTAAGTTAACTTAAACTTATTAATTTAACTTAAGTTGATGATATTTGCTAATTTAATTTTTAACTTTATTGACATGCTCAAAATGGTTGTTAACTTAATTTTTGATGTAAATGAAAAAAAATAGTTAACTGAGTTATAAATTATAATATTATAATACAATGAACATCCAAATTATTTGATTTTTAATTAAATTAAAATAACCGATTGCCTTTATTAAAATTGATTGAAGGTAAAGTTGCATAATAATATATAGACAGGGATTTTGGTTATACAATTTGGCGGGGCTAGTAGTATATAAAATATAGGTAGTTAATATGATTCTAAAACAATATATTTATTTTAAGTAGAAACTGTATCATAAATGTACATTTCCTTAGTATTAATTAATTTAGAAATAAAGACATAAAGTATAAGTGTACCAAACAAGCATTTGATTTGTTTGTTATAAAAGAACAAATCATTTTTGGTTGGTTTTTCCATTTATAGAAATCTAAGCAAAAATACAGACGATAAAAATCCAGTGTACCAGTAACAATTCAGGTTTACCCGACAATGTCAAATCTTTGATGATTGTATAAATGATAGACATTGGGTCAAGGTAAGTAAACTTAAATGGAATAAAATAAATTATTAAATTAAATTAATTATATTTAAACTTATTAAAAAAATTGTCTGGCTTTTTTTAAAAGTTTAAAAACTGTTACATAGTTATTTAATAAAATCTATTTATTTAAATGGTTTAGATAAAATATTTTATCAACTCATCACTTACCATTTTTCCAAATAATTTGACATTTTGAAATTATAATTATAAATGCAATATTTATAATAAAGTGTAATGTAGGATTGACGTAAATTTGATTTAAAATCAACGGGAATGCATTATCGAACAATTCACTTTTAAAATTTAGATTTCCTATAAAATAAAATAATTTAATATTTTATTAATCTATAAATAATAAGAATAATATATGTATTTGATAGAAGTTAAGAATATCCAATGGACAGTTTTAAAATACGCAATGAATCATGATTCATGATTAAAAATAGGTATCACAAATTATATTATTTTCAACATAGTAAGTATATTTTTTCATATACAAGTGTTTAAAGTTTGAAAAATGTATTTATTTTTATTATTGTAGATAATAATTATTTGTTGAAATTCTAAGCTATATTTAACAGACCAAAAAATGGTAAGGATTTTTCTAATTTTTTGTTTAATTTCCAATGTAGCTAATAAATACATGCAACTTAAAGGGATTTTATTGAACCAAAAACGACTTAATTTTAAAACCAATTATATGAATGTATTGCTTGCTCAAAATCTAAAAGTATTTATATGTTATCAACAGACACATTATACTAGATTTATTTTAAATTACAGTAATCGTAATAGAAAAAATTTAAGTTGAAGATAATTTTTGGAATAAAATCTACAAATATTAATATAATAGTTCCCGAAAAATACAAATATTATAATTTCATTTATTTATGTTAGGAATATAATGTTCATGTTAATTAATATTGTATAGTTTTTTTTTTTGTATGTGATAGTATGTATTGATGTTTACCTGAAAAATGAGTTGGATAAATGTTGTTGTGTTTCAAATAGTTTTTTTGAAAATGTATAATATTATCCTTCAATGTTACAAAGTGTTGATGTAGTTGAATGGTATCAATAATTCTTCTAGTAATATCAATACCTGAAACATATTGTAATTTGTATTTTAATGTAATTTAAAAATTATATTTTTGTATTATTATTTATTACTTATGGTATATAATATAATAAATAATAATAAATTAATTGTAGTTAATAAATATAAAAATAACTTAGTTAAGTTAAAACAATGGTTCTCAACCTGAGGGGGACACCTTAAGAGCTGTAAGGAGGCGAGATAAATTCAATAAATAAAAAAAAATTTATTATATAATAGATGATTATACATAGTAAGAGAGGATCTTAAAGCTATGGAAGGAAATTGTACAAGATTGTGAGAGATAGAGAGATGTAGAGATTCAAAGACTCAAATAAAGTTATAACTTATTATATAATATATCTTCTTATATATATAATTTTTCTGTATGTGTGTATGCCACTGAACTCCTCTTAAACGGCTGGACCGAATTGAATGAATATTTTTGTATGCATTTGGATGACACCCTGGATGGTTTATATTCACAATTGGATCTGATAGGTTAGGAGTTGCTCAAACAAGGATATTAAGATTTATGAATAAAATTTTTGTTTATATACGGTTGCTATTGGTTATAGGAGAAATATAAATAAATTTAGTATAGATATTGATATTTTATTTTATTTATTGGTTGCCTGCAGTGGTTCATTGGGCAGATCAGGTATAGGCATGCATACAATTGAATTTTCACACATTGCCTACCAAAGTGGCTGAGATGCACTTGTAGCCGCTCAACCTGTCCGAAATCAAAATAAAACATATTATTTATATAAACTACTCATTAAGCGGGGTCCGCAATACAAAGCAGGTAGGCATAATATACTGCTCGCATTATCACCATTGAGTCTCATATAAAGTTGGCATTTTTAACGGGCAACAAAGTGCACAGGATCAGCTAGTATATATATATACATAAAGATATATCCTTTATTAAATATACTTCAATCTTATAGCGGCGACCCCCTGGTGAGGGGACCTGACCGATATCACTAGTACATGGACAGTCCGTTACCTATATTATGACTATGTCGGATGTTTATAATTAGGGAATTTTCTAGTTTACAAAATATTGGATCAAAATATATGAGTTAAAATAAATATTACAGTAGATAATAAATATATATGTTTACATTAGACAATAAAATACAAAGTACAACTATAGAACTGTACAAGAAAAAATATTTTGGTACATTGTTCACTTAATTTTTTTTTCCAGGACTTTTATTTCAGACTATCCAATAAAACCAACATACCAAACACATAATATAATTTACTTAACTTTAAATTTGATAGTTAATATAATCATTCAAATATTAAAGTTAAGAACACAAGATTGTCTATGCTGGTCACACATTTGCTAGGTTACACAAAAGAGAAAATATATAGTGCATTGCCATGCCTTTTAATTTTATTCAAATTTATTTCTAAGTAGTTAAACATAAAAATATGAAATACATTTTTTACACAAATATTTTCAAAAATACTTGAAGTCATTAAAAATAAGTGATTATAGGTACCAATTGTTTTTAAATATATGGGTTTTATTTGATTGAGAAAAATATTTTATTTAAAATAAAATACATTTTTCAATTTTTATGTTTACATTGAAAAGTATCTAACTATAAATGTACACTGATTCTTAGGAGTAATTAAATAATTATCAGCTTTGTAAAATTGTTAGTATTAAATCATTTTTGAAAAAGTTGATTTAAAATTTTAAGCCTATGGTATTTATAAACTATTTATTGATCAAGAGTGTACTATATTAGAGTATGTAATTTCATTGAATATTAGTACCTATATTGCAACTGTAAAAATGTATAATTAACACATCCCAATATTGTGTTAGGGTTATAGTTAGATAATAAGATAATAGTTGTATATGCTATTGAATATTTAAGAGCATTATTGTAATATTTACCTTGTACTTCAATTTGAGCCCCACATTTTTTAAATAGTGCACTTATCCAACTTACTTGATTTATTATTACATCTAAATGAATAGCTTCAGTCATATTTTTTGATAAGTTATAAATCAGTGCAACTGACAAAATGTTAAAGTATGATAAAATCATATTATGTTGTTGCCTAAAAAAATAAATATTTTAACAAATGTATTATATTATTTGTTGCTTGCAATTCTGTACATAATTTAAATCGAAAACTATTTACCTATAAACAATTTCATGAGCAAGAGTTAATATAATATTATTTTCATTATTTTTCCCATTTGCGTTCATATCTCTGATATATTTTTGAAGTGAAAGGGGAGAAGCAAAATTAATATAAATATTTCCATATTGATCATCCATATTTTTAATGCTATTTATTAATCCCTAAAAACAATTATTAATATCAGATTTTTAAGTAAGACATAATAGATTTATAATACCAAGTCCACTCTTAATCAATGCACTTTCAGTTGTTGAAAAAATAAATACAATTGATTTATTTAAAAATTTAAAAATTATACATATATTTATTATGTCCTTGGATCAAGAGCTAGAAGTTTAATTTCCATACTCCTGGTTTAAAAAAAATGTTTAAACTTATTTTTAGTGAAAAAGTGCACATAATTGCCACAAATATAGATTTATTTTCAAAATTTAAATTGATGCTGAACAAATCTTCATTATTAGACAGAAAAAAAATGACAAGACACCCATCATTAATTGCCTTTAAATTATATTATATTATTCCTTACAAAAGATTCAGCTCTGGTATATTACTTAACTGTTGAGTTATTTGTGACAAAGTATAACATTACTAATATACCATTGTAATACTGTATCATAGTATATAATAGTAAAATATATATGCATTAATATTTAATGTGTAATATTAATATACGTTAAAACATTTCTTATTTATTAGTTTTTATAAATTAGAAAATTAAAATTGTACCATAGATAACTGGTGGGAAGAGGTGCTTAGAAGTGATAAATAACTCCCAAGCTCTATTTCAACAACCCATTGGCCACTGTTATAAACAAAAATAATAAAGAAAACAATGTGAGAAAAGAATGTTTTCTTTATTTAATGTCAAGTTCAGTTCCCTCTTTACTCTATGGCCCACATAGGGCACTAGCCAAGGACCCCCATCTGGCTGGAGGCTCCGAATAATAGACATTACAATTTTAAATTAAAACCTGTAACGTATTAATACGACCGTTTATAAAAAAAAATGGTAATTTTAAATAAATAATGCTTCATTATGTGCAATAACACAAGGTTTAAAATTATTAATGTATAGTAACAAATAAAGTTATCATACTACATAAGCTTATAATGTTTTTATTAAACCTTTTTCAACATTGGTCTATTAAAAGGGCCCTTAAGTTCCTGGTACCAATGAGCCCGTACAAAATCTTAGACGATTCTGGTCAAGTTATTTCAAATTGAAGTTATAATACTAATAAGTTCTACAATATGTGAATTCAGTTTTTCAAGTAGGCAATAACCTAAAAATTGGTTGAGGACAAGTATGTTATAGCAACAATTTGCTGACTGTCCATATTAAATATTGTGAGGGATGTATCCAATAAAATGAAAACAAAATAAGTGTAATATAAGTACAGTACAAAAGCAAGGAAAATATTTTTAAAATATATCAAACATATGTTATTTGTATTTGTTATATTGTTTGTAAAAATTATGTTGTAATAAATAATAATAAACAATAAGACAATTATTTATTTAGTAAGTATAATTTAATATTAGTTAATGTACACAAAGAAAATAATGTTGAAGTTGTGCTACAAAAATTTGTTATTAACATTTTGAAATTTATGTGTGAGATACGTGAATTAGTGAGATGAATATACATCAATTTAGCACCTCCTATAATTTGTCTAGTAGCACCTATATATTGTATGACACCAATTTAATTAACTTGCTGAATGGTTTGAAATAGATATTGTATTTTCACAGCCTAAATACTCATAAGACATTAAAATGTCTTCAATTTTATTTATTAAAATAGTTGTTTTCAAAACTGGTTAAAAAAAAAAGTCTTGTGTACAAATTGTATAATAAATGAAAGTGTGATTTGGAAAAAACTTTATAGCTCTTAACACATTTAAATAGAAATGGTTGATTTTGTACTACTTATTAGTTATTATACATATCTACATTACGGAGCTTATAATATGTTATATTTTAACTAAAAATGATAAAATCAGAAAAAAAAAATCGCTGTATTTTTCTAATGGAATTTTAAAGAAAAAAGAGTAGTATAGTAATAAATTTATACTAATAAATTACTACACTCCGTCTCAAAAAAGAACAATCACTTTTTGATCATCATAAATGATGTAATTTAAGTGTCGAGGACAAAATACTGAAGCTATGACGAGAATCATTGGCCGGACTGACAACAATTAGTTAACCGACTGAATATTCTCTTTTGAGACAGAGTATGTAATTTAATTTCTTAAATACTATACAAGGACAATTTCTGTATTAATATTTGATATTTTGATTCTGAACCTCAAATACAATAAAAAATACAATTCAATAAATTACAATGTAAATAAATAAATAAATACATTTTTATATTGCATACCAACGTTGTTTCTTTAGGTTTAGGAATTCCTAGAAGTTCATAACTAAATAATTTATCCTCAAGTATGCGGTCATAATTAATTGATATTGGAATAATTATGATATCTTGAACATCATTTTTTAATAAAACATTAACAATACACTTAAGTATCCCTGAAAATAATAAAAATTTTAAATTGTTAATATCATGAAATTTTCAAAAAATGTTTAAATTAAAATGCCCTTTTAAGCTAATGTATTAAAACAAATTAAACCTAAAATCATAAAACTTATAAAACCAACCAAACAAAGCAATAATTACATACACTACATACATACTTAAAAATATTTTGGTTACAATTTACCTAGCTTTGGATGAATAGACTTATTAGATCGACTGCGTGTACCTTCAATAAAAAACTGTAAGGGCGAACTTTCATAAGTTATTAAGTGTTTCACATAGGTGTACAATACTGATCGGTATATAATGTCTTGTGCATTTTTTCCTCGATGCAAGAAAAAAGCACCACATTGTTTCAACACATTTCCCATTATTTTCATATTTTTAAAATCTATGAAAAAAAATTAATTTAATCAGTTTTTTAAGGATTAAATATATTTCTATGGTTTAAATTTGTAGTAAGATAATACCATAAATAGCAAAAACAAGCATAAATATAATAAATATACTAACAATAAAACATTACATGCAAAATAATAATATACAGTTATTTTTTACTTTTTATTTCATCACAATACCTTGACTGTATGACAAATAAAAAATGTAAAAAAATACAAAATAAACAATTTATAATAATATAAATAACTAAAAAAAAACTTAATTTATAATAATTAGGTACTTATGTATATTATTGATCTGTCCAAACTGTAGTAGTATGTTTTTACTCATACAAAATTACAATGATTTAATTTATTATCATACTAAATAATACTAATACATACTGACATACAAATAATTTAATTTTCAAATACATGTGTTAACTATTTCTAACTCATAATTCAGCTTATTTGTAGTACTTCAAACCAGGGATAGGCAACTATTGAAATTGTTGTAATTTAATGACTAAAAGTGTATAAACTACAAAATAAATTATGGTATGCAAATTTTAGTTCAGAAAATGTATCAATAACTATCCTGATTATATTTAATTACCATTTTATTGGTATATATAGAATTTCATTTCTAAAACTTAACACATTGCATTTAAGACATTGAGTTATTTGTTTCACAATTTTTTTTCAAACATTAAAATATATGTTGGCCTATAATTTCTTAATTTCAATTTCTGAGATATTATCGATCCTCACAAGACTGTTAAAACATTTAAAACACACGTGTAAATTTAAAAAAATCTACAACGACAAATCAGCTCAAGTCTTATATTTTTCTGTAGTTTAGTCTAATATATAATATTATTTGAATATGCATCTTAAATTTGGCACTCAGTTAGTATTCTACAAGCTCAACATATATTTTATGCTCGAAATAATTCTCTAACCTATAAATGCTGTTTTCAAAGAGTTGAATAAGATCATTAAAAAATGTTTTTAATTATTTGTTTAAATTACTCTCAAATGACATTGAAAAACATTTAGATTTTAAAACTAATTCATCTAATTCAAGAAATAAATTATAATTTTATCCTTCACTGCTTTATAGTAAATTCATAGTGTATACACTATCTTGTAAATAAAACTCATGTAATTATTCTTTGTGCCATATTTCAACATTTATATAAATGAAGTATATTCTATCATTTTGTAACTTCTATTTTAGTTTTCTAAGAATTTCTTATTTTCATATCTACAATGTACATATAATGTTATGTTTTTAACTGTTTAAAATTACTATAAATCTGAATAGGTATCATTATATTAAATATAATATATTTTATTCTTAATTATCCAACATTAAAATTGTTACATAATACATATTCAATAATAGTACAAATTTATTTCTGTAGTAAATATAGTTCATTATTATTAATTAAAATACACATTTTTATTATTGTTTTAATTAAGGAAATATGTTTTTTAAGTTGATATTAAACTTTTAAATATTTTATAGTTTTTAAAATGTAAGGTTTTTTTACTATAAATTGATGGTTAAATATTTACTTATATAATTTTATTAGTTTTCCATACTAAAAATTTAAATCTTATGGTGGCAAACTTTTATATTCCAGTTACCTTAAGTTGCCAACCCCTGATTTAGGTCAATTTCCACATACATGAGCAATAAACTCAAACATTCTATGTATAAAAAACAAAAGCTCATAAAAATAAATTACAACCAACAATTCTACTTTTTTTCTAATGTATGATTATTGTAAAAATACCCATTGCTGCAGCAACATATGGAATATCAATATTATAATTGAAACATATGAATGCCATTAATATAAAATCTTGATAACTTCTATGACTTGGAACAAATATGACTGGAGTTTTGTTAAAGTTTGATTTCATCTATTATGTTTTCAAAATAAGTAATCATACAATTAAATACTTAAACTAATTTCTTTAAACTTAATAATTCATAAATAAACATTTATTAATTATTTTTGTTATCCTATACATTAGTTACACTTACATTTTTTAATGTATTATATGCATATAATTTGTTTTGTTGGTCAACACACTTTTATTTTACTTAATAAATTAGTTAACCTTTTAAATATTTAACTTATATTATAGATACCCAAAAATATGAAATTAATTTTATACATTATCTTTAGGGTTATTTGTAACAACACACAATTTAACTATAAGACTTCAAATATAATACATAATAAATATTATTTAACAATGGTGACATTACCGTTAACAGTTTTTGTTCATTTATATATAAGCCTTGGAGTTTGGATTTCAGAATTTTAATTAAAATAAATCCCATCATTCTAATAGTTGTATTTTTTTTTATACTCTGAAGATCTTCAAGTATTTCCATTGCCTTGTTTGTAGCATAATCTAAACTAATACTATTTGTTGGTATTTCCTAAAAATTAACAACATAATTAGGTATAAACCGCTAAAATTTGGGATTATGATCAGTAGAGTCATTTGAGATTTTAATTGCTAAAAAGCCAAAAATTAAGCAAAGCCAATTTTTTTTTTCATTTTAAGGCCACTTTTTCTTTATTGTATTAAATATATGACGTAATTATGGCACATCCATAGAGCTGAAGTGTTAGGTATATTTAATATTTATATGTTAAGTCTCAACATGAATAATTTAAGTATTTAATTATTCAAATTTACAAAAAAATAATAATTTGAATTTAATTTATCAATATGTAAAAACACATCATATTTAGATGATAAAAACAAGATCAATTTGAATGGTAAAACAAGTTTATACTTACTGAAAATATATTATAGTAGAACCATATCAATAATAAATAATTTATAATATTACAAACCTTCAGAATTGTTAGTTTTATATTTTGTTCAAGTATTTTTTGTTTTTCATAATTTGATAAATGTGTTCCTTGAGAGTTCAATGCAAATTGTCCAGTATTCAAAGTTTTGAATGTCCATTTTAAGTCACTATTACTCTTTAATGAAGTTAAAATATTTACAAATAAATTGTAATCTAGACAATCCATTAAATTGCTCCTGAAAATAAAACGTAGGTAGTTAAATAAAGTAAAAAACCATAAATATTAATGTCAGCTTAGTATTAGGAACAACTGTACAAGTCAGTACTAAAAGGTTTTATTTACTTTAATATAATAGTAAGTACAAATTGAAACGTGTTATTAAAACCACAGTGTTTTAAATAAGTAGTAACATACTTACATTTTTAAAGTACCTATTTTATGTATACAATATATATCTAAATCCTCTTGTACTTTAATGATTAACTATAATTCAATCCACATACATTAATAGGTATATTAATTAACATGTAATTCTGCTTATTGGTTAATTGATTGTTGGTGTAAACATTTAAAATATACACAAAAACAAGGATAATCCACTCAGTGGCTCCATAATGTGTAGAAGTATATTATTTAATGTTATTTTTCCTTATAAACAATGATAACATAATCATAATATTATAATCCTATCTAATAGATAATCTGTTATCATGGGTTAAGTATGAACGATGATTACATTTAAAAATTTTAAATGAAACCACAGATATATATGTATTAATATATGTATCTGTGAATGAAACCTGGCCATTACTCATTACTCATTAGAGCATTAGGACATTTTATTTGTCTATGGGCATTAGGCCCACTGCCCCACGATAATAAATATGTAGGTAATAGGTTTATCTTTAGTTCATATACAATAATAATATATTTTATGATCTATACAAGAGATGGTAAGTCCATGACGCGCGAAAAATTAAAATACAACATTGTTTAATAATAAATAATAAGACCACAATTTTTTTCTTATTTAGATTAGCATTTACATTATGGACGCCTGAAAAAAATCAAAAAACACGTTATACACGAGTACCTATATACTAGTATCAAAATCAAATGTTTTGTGGTGAGTGGTGGGTCGTGTGAAGTAGAAAATCCGAATCCGTTTCTATTCATCATTTTTTTCTAAATTGATTATTGATTATTATCATACCTATAATAAACCAATTTATAAATTTGACATTCTGTATGGATGCAAAGACACTAAAGCTGAAAGGAGGCGTGTCATTAATTTTTATTATATATTTTAAAAAGTAAAATTAAAAAATAAGTTACAAGTTAATAACAATCAAGATGGTATTTAAATTTTATAATATTACTTTCAAAACATAGTAATTATACCTGTATAGAAAATCTTCTATAGACATGAGGTATGACTAATTAACATGAGTTAGGAATATTGGTTATGAAAAAACAAGTATGTTTAAAAGGAATCCCAGACGATAAGTCCGGGGACAAAAAGTCTGGATTCATTTTTTTATTGTCGGACATAAGTCCGAATACACTTTTGTTGTCAGACTACAGTTATAATAATTTAAAATAAGTCTATAATAGGTAGGTACCTACAAACATCGTAGAAACTTCGTATAAAATGTATACACACTATTGTGTAAAAATAATTTTTTAGTACCTATGGTTTGATTTTGGGGTGCCAGGGCGCCAGGCTGACCGACCTATGAACAGTTTAAGAAAATATATATACAAAAATTTAATAACAAAATCGGGATCCTACTCCTATTAATTACATTGATTAGTAATTACTAATTACATATTATAATTATAGATGTAAATTGAATAGAATATTTTTAATTTTCGGACTTTTTGTCCGATGATAAAATAATGAATCGAGACATTTTGTTCGACTTTTTTTAAAATGGACTATTTGTTCATGGACTTTTTGACCGTTTACCGTTTAAATGTACCTGCTGGTCGAAATCGTATACGGTAATATGAAGTAATAGGTACTTTATCAGAATATTTACCGACAACATTTATATTTAATTTCCTTTTGTAGCATATTTTGGTACATTTCAATAAAAAATTAAATTTGTCTACAATCCATAAAAATATCTATAATATGAACTATGAGAAATAAATAATAGAATACATTTGTGAATGATTTCATGCACCTTTCCAATGTACTGCTTTTAGCTTCTATCGATTGTTTACTGCAATTACCTACGTTACTGAATAAGGTGCTTTGCGGGGTCTCAATTTTGTTTACATGACTATGAGGAAACTATTGAATTATCTATACCCCTTGGGTATTAATCACACATCTTCATGATCTAGTGCACAAATGCACAATTTTAAATTTTAGCAGAATGGTTGAATATATATGTAACAATACTGATTAAGCATGAATAATATTTTAGATAGTAAAATTCGAGCTCCTTTTGATGCTATATTTTCTTGTCTTCTTTTTAAATAATCACGTGGATTGGTTCCAGTAGTAGTCGTACTAAAATTTGAATTAAAGCAATACTAAAAAAATTGTTATCTATTTTTAAATTTTTCATTGATATTAGAAATTGTGGTATTTTTACGCAAACCAGTTTTCGACAAAATCGAAATTGTCTTTTTGATATGAAACAAATATCTGTAGATATTTGAAATTTTTATGAAAAGTTTATACAAGTATTATAGTTCATTATTTTTTTACATTGATTAATAATAAACAATAGTTTATGTAATAAGTTACCTATCAGTAACGTAGCTAGCCAGCGAGAGGAGCTTTAGACCATAAAATATCAAAATCTCTATAGGTACCCGTTAGTACCTTGGGCCTAACAATTAAATATTGTAGGCCCCTCCCGAAAAAAACCCTCGCTACAGTACTGCTATGTATAGACATTGCAGATTTTAAGAAAAAATCGTACATTTTAATTGTCAATAAGCAGCTTAAAAAGTGTCATATTATTTTGAAAAACTATACCATGTATTTAAAATTCTAGTATTAAATATATGGTGACAATGTCAAGTATCTACAGACTACTGCAGTTATTGAAAAATAAAAATGTAAAGTGAGGTGTAAGTGCAGTGAACTTTTTATTTTTGGGAAAAAAACCATTACCGAAGTTTTTAATCAAAATTTTTTTACTGCTTCAAAGGTGGAAAAAAAGACGAACACATCATTGAATCTAATACATACAGACAATATTAAAAATGCAGTAAGTAGGTACCTATTTTATTCAACAGGTAATGAAATATCAGTTGCTAAAAAATGTTTATGATAACTGATAAGCCATAATCAATTAACTATATTATGCATAATAAATAAAGTGGTTAATTTATAGGTACATATAGATATAATATTGTATAATTAAGACATGATCCACCGTTATTAAAAACAAATTGTATTCATAAAAAACAGTATAATATTACATACATTCTCAAGTAGAATAAAGTATTAAAATCTATCCTAACCTTATTGAAATTTAATTTTGAACATAACAAAAATTTCGGATTTTAAACTTTATATTTAAATTGTATATTGTCGACTTCAGATGAGTCATCAATGTCGTTTTCTGCCAACCATTCATTCAAAAATGCTCTAATCGTCTCACGAGCATTTTTAAGCTGTGGAAGATCTGTAGGAGATGGAGGATACATATTTGCACAATGAGCTGTCCCTGTATAGAGGAAAAAACGTAATCAATTTAATATTAAAATAATGTGTTGTTTTTATACTGAGCCACTCGGTTATAAGAAAAAAAATGTATAACTAGTATAGTATTGTAATTAATTATTGACATATGTATTATTTTAAAAATTACCTTCAATATAAATTGCAACGTTGTTTTTTGTTTTGGTTTGAGTAATGCCTAATGCATGCCATGGATCGACAGACCCGTGGACATAAATTACTCTGCTTTCTTTTATGTTCAATTCACCATACATCATGTTACTTCTTTTAATTGCATTAGACAAGAGATCAAAATTATACCTAAAAAAAAAGAATTTACAAAGAGATCATAATTAAACATATCTAATGTGCATAATTTAGTCATTATAGATTATCATTTAAATACTATTTTTTTATTGCATGTAGACCAGGGGTTTTCAAACTTTTTACTCGAGAATCAAATAAACATTTTAAACTTTGACTTTTGACTTTCAAAACCCAAAAGATATATATCATAATTAAATTTACAATTTTCAGTTTTATAGTTAAGCATATTCAACATATTAATAAACAGGTGCAAATTATTAACGGTTGTTATGAATGATAAAGTTACAGTGGCACGTATATTTGTTTGGAGAAGGATAAAAAGACATTTAAATTTGGTGTAGGTAGGTATGGTTTTATTCACGTGGTTACAAAAAAAAATTGTTGTAAGTAGTTATATTACCTATATTAAATGTATACATGTAGACATGTAGTATTATGTAGGCATATTGATTTGTGTTTTTTTTTTTTTTTAATTGCAAGCAAATAAATGCCAACATGCAGAAATCCTCAATAAATTAAAATGTTCTTTTTCGATTATTTTTTTAAATAACAAAACCAAAACTATAGTTTAACACTTAGGACTTGGACCAAACAAAGTACTGCCGTAGAAAATATCATCGACTCGAAAAAAAATTCCAATACATTTTAATGATGTAATTTATTAGTTACCTGTAGTATTTTAAAATAATTATTTTGCAATAATAAAATAATTTTACCTGGGGAGAGAATATGATTTATTTTGAGATGCTTTCCCCCTAACACCCATTTTCCACTCATCTTGTCTAGGTGCTTATATATTAGTAATATTGTACTAATTGTAAGTTGTAACTAGATATTTAAAATAACTGTAAGAAACCTAACATTGCATTTTAGAGTCTTAACTAAACTCAAATGAATTATACACCTACACAATTATTAAGTTTTTAGAACTTTTTTAAATCATTTGTTATTTATTAGTATTGAATATGACAGGAATTTATTCCAAATTGAAAGCATATTACTTTTTAATAATTATAATACATATTAAGAGGACGCTACCTATGTATTTGTTGTCTCCGTCTTACACACGTACGACATAGGACATTTTTGTTCACTAGTTTCAATAGTTTGCTGTTAGTTTTGATATTAGAGTGAATTAACTTATTACCAAAGTTTTAGGTCAGAACATTATTTATGCTTAAGCATCGGCAGATTTTTGGATATTTTAATTTTCAAGTGAGATATGAGCATCTTTGATTTGTATTATTTCACATACTCGTATCTTGCTTGAAAATGAAAATATCGAAAATCCGCCGACGCTTAAGCATAGATAATGTTCTTACCTAAAAGTTTGATAATATTTAAATTCACTCTAATATCAAAACTAACGGCACACTATTGACACTAGTGAACGAAAATTTGCTATGTCGTAATAAGTTGGTGAGCGGAGACAACAAACGCGTGGGTAGCATCCTCTTAAGGCAGTAATAAACATTCTCTGTAGGTAGCAAATTAAGTTTCTCTACAAAATAAAGTTGTATGATAAAAATCCAGCACCTAGATAACTATAAATTATCATCATTAATTTCTTATCTATAATATAGGTAGGTTAAGTTATTAAGAATTCAACACTGTCAACAACCTTCCCAATTAGGACCTATCCTG